ACTAGTCCAATTGGCATCTTAATTAGAAAGATCGCAAAGTTGATGAGTGCAGTTGTTTGCAAGTGCATGATGTTGTCATGCATTAATGTTCTTTCTTGTCAACCAAACCATCAAAAGATCATAAGCTAACCACAAGTGAATCCACTTTGCTATATTTAGGGGGGTGTATTCAATTAGGACTTTTAATGACTTTTTAAGACTTTTGAAATTTGAGTGTATTCAATTGAAACTTTTTGAGACTCTCATAAAGTTTACATGTATTCAATTAAAACTTTCCAAGAGTCTCTATAAGTTACCCATTATTCAAGTTAGGAGGATTTTATGAGACTTTTTAAATTAGAGGATTCTTGGAGACTTTTTTTACCAAAAGTATTAGAAAAATCACTTGTGGAAATCTCATCAAAATGGTGAGATTTTGTTGAACTTGAAAACTCTTCTCTCTGGGATTATTACAAGTTAATATCATACGTTTTCAGTTTTTCCTGTCCAGTGACACTTGTGAGTTATTAACACATAGATCTGATGTTGAGTTATATTAAACCAAAAAAAAAAGAAAAAGAAAAAACTCTTTGACCAAAATACATAGGTTGAATATATAGTACAATCAGAGTTGATAGTTGTGCATGTCTATTGCCTTCGTAAATAAATAAATAAATTTAAAAGAAAAAACTCCTTTATCAACAGCAAGATGGCTCATTGTTAGAAAAAATCTCTGGAAAAAAAGTGACTTTTCATGCACAAACAAAATTATCTTTTAGGATTGATTTTTGTAGGAACTCATACAGTGAATGTTGAAATATTATAATCTTATGAATTCTGTATAAATTGGTTAACATTGTGTAATTTATCATCCAAGGTAACAGCTTTTAGGTTCATCACACGAAAATAAAAAAGTTTAGGATAAAAAAAATGGACATCCGAATAGAGTAGTGAATTGCTTATTATCATAAATCATTTTAAAATAATATTATAATTTTTTTAATTACTAATGTGATTTTATTGGTAATAGTTACTATGCGCATTATATTTTATGAGCATTTCATACAAGTTTTAATTATTATAAGAATTATATTAAAGTCTAACAAAATCTCATAAAGTTCACATTGGAAGTCTTATAAAGTCTCCATAAAAATTTTCTAAAAATCTCACAAAATCCACAAGAGTCACTAAAAGTTTCATAAAGTCTACAAAAGTCATCTATTTTAAAAAGTCTTCAAGAGTCGTAATTGAATACACCCCCCTTAATTTGCAATACAATTAACTACTTTTTTGCTAGTATAAATAATTTAGTAGGTGGATCCACTTTGACCGGTCAAACATATTGAAAACAAGTGACTGTATAAAAAAACCCAGGTAATTTATATGATCTTCCAAAACAAAAGCCTCCATTGAATGCAAATTAGTAAGATTAGTTATAGTTGCACTCAACATTAGGTGAACAAACTTATTTTCCAGGTTTAATTTGCTTGTTCATCAATTCCATTTTGTGACACATTAAAAATAAATAAATAAACAAATAAGAAAAATAAATGGCACCCAATTCAATTGGGTGAGGCCAACATATTTATTTTCATTTATGGTTTATCTCGTGTTTTTTAATATGATGACAATCCAGTATACAAGACCATGCTCGATTTAGATCACATTTGTGGTTGGTATTTTACATCTGAGAACCGTGCAAACACACACGATTGATATGACTGATTCGGTTCTTTTTTATGCAAATCATATGTGTATTTATCGAGTAATAACCAACTATATATGAACAATATGCATAATTTTTATTATTATTATTTTGTATGCACTAATCGGTTCCCATTTTCTTAATTTTACCATCGGTTTCTCATTTTTGTATTACATTTCTCCATTTTTTATGATATTTTTTTGTGCTCGAGCTGCAATTTTTTTTTTACTGATTCTTTACCTAAAGAACCGGATAAACAATTTGGTCCCTTTTTAGTTTCTATAAAATTCAATGTGNGATTGACTTGGGTACAGATACTTGGATTGGGCTCGTCAAAACTCAAGCCCAAGAAGTTTAAATTAAGATGTGTTGTAAGCAATCTTATTATTTAGTCCAACTTTGAATGATATTAGTGAATTATTATTAATTAAACAGCAATCTTATATTTGTGATTTTTGAGTTATTATGTATGACAACTCTCTTGAGCCTGCACATGAATAACTGCTAACTAGAGACTAAACTATAATATAAATATTCCATTAAATAATAAAATCTCATAGGTATATATTTGTGTAAATAATTAGAGTAATGCTGCATTGTCAGCCTAGTATACAACTAGATTGACAACATAAGTGAAAACATAAAAAAAAAATAAAAAAAAATGAGTAATGCTATCTAGCCAACTTGGGTGACAACTTGGATTACAACCCAAGTAAAAATGCATTATCAAGAAATTAAAAAATAATGCATTTACACCTGAGTTGTAATCTAAGTTGTAACCCAAGTGGGCTTTGTAGCATTACTCTAGAAAAATACACAAATGGATGTTTTCACTTGTGTTGTCAACCTAGTTGTACACTAGGTTGGTAATGTAACATTTTTCAAATAATTATTTAGTGGAAGATCAAATTCCAAACTCCATAAAACAACACATATCACATTGCATGTGACTCATTCAAATTGTAACTAATAATGGAACAATATCACATGATTTGTTTTTAAATTCAATGATATAATGTGAAAAATATAAAGAACACCAAAAATCACGAGTGGCCGGGCTTCCAAATTTTCTCATAGTTCCCTTTCGGCAAAATTTCAAAATTGGTCTTATAAGTTGGCCATTGTTAAAAAATCCACCCATACATTGACCACTTTTAAATTGGGTCCAATAATTTGGCAATTTAATCAAATTTGATCCTTTTTTATTCCACATCGAATAAAAACGTAACGTGGCGCCCAGTCAGTCTGACATGGCGTGATTATAGTTTATGTGGCGGGATTAAATTTTACATGGCGTGTACTTCATCTTATTTGGAATTAACTAAAATTTTAGAACTGCAAATTAGTCCGTATAATTTATCAAATTTTAAAATACAACTCCCTGCAATCTCAAAATTTTTAAAACTGAGCCTCAACCGTCCGCCGAACGCCGTTCATCGGCCGTCTCCGATCGATATTTTTTTACTATCATCTTGAAGCTCACATCATTCTCGTTCACCTCCTAAAGTTTCCGGCGAAAAATCCCACCAATAAGGCTGTCAATTTTTCGGTCAAAATTTCTAGATCTAATTTTTTTGTTGTCAAAATTCGGCTTTCTTCTTCAATATTCCGGCGATTCAAATCGACCCATCGAAATCCGCAGACAAATCCGAACTCTCAAGGCCGCTGCGCACCAAACAACGTCTACCATCTCTGAAATAGAAAAAAAATTTCGGCAATCCATTTTTCCGGCATGTAGTAAAGCTTGGACCTTTCTCAATACGCACACAACATCAACAAAACCAAGAATTACGCTCAACAAGTCTCCAATTTAACAATAAAAATTAGCTGACTAAATCCCCCTCCAAATTAAAAATCACAAGCGTCTACCTCATAAAACAAAAGAGTCATTTAGCTCCACCAATCCGACAGAGGATATAAAACCTTATTTCAGGTGTATCTCCACAAGGCCATTCCGATGGTACTTCAGAAAACAAAAGACGTACAAGAATAGAAATGTGTTAAAAAAAAATAAAAAATAAATAAAAAACCCCTCTTCTAAACAAGCGAGGGATGTCGAGTTCGGAGTTACATCGAGATTCAACTGAGAAGGTTACCTCTTTGTTTTTTTTTTTTTTTGTTTTTTTTTCCACTTTGGCATAACAGATATTTTTTTTTTTAATTTATCTATATGTTACTTCCACTTGGCTGTGAGGATGTCCTACATCATGTTTAAAAATAGTAAATGGATCTGATTGGGTGACACGTGGGCGCCACGTTACGTTTTTATCCGGGGTGGGATAAAAAAGGATCAAATTTGATTAAATTGTCAAATTATTGGACCCAGTTTAAAAGTGGTCAATGTAGAAGTATGTTTTTGGACAACGGCCAACTTATAAGACCAATTTTGAAATTTTACCGTTCCCTTTCAACGATGGAAAATTTTATTAAATGAAGTCAAAATCAATCACTTGCATGCAAAACGTACTCAAGAAAATAAATAAATAAAACTACATACATATATTTAAATCTTGTTCTACCAACTGGACTAAAGATATAATAAAAGACCCCAAATTTAATAATTGAATTAACCGTTAGATGAATGAAAATGATCTGAGTCTTAAAAAGAATATCTTTTCTACAACCCAATTCAACTTAATATAAAATATTATTTCTCTTTCATCCACCTATAAAATTCAACTTTCCCAACCTAACTCATCTTTATCCACGATTCAGCCCAA